ACCTGGTGATCTGCTCCCATAATGATTTACAGACTATCCGGGAGCTTCTAAAAATTAAACACTTATGCTCATCAAAGGACTTTGCCAAAAAAAAAAAAAAGAGAACCTACAGACTGGGAAAAAATTTTTGGCTATGACATAACAAACAACGGCCTAATCTCTAAAATTTATAGAAAATTTCAACATCTCAACAACAAAAAGACAAACAATCCAATTACAAAATGGGCAAAAGACATGAACAGACACTTCACCAAAGAAGACATTCAGGCAGCTAACAAACACATGAAAAGATGCTCATGATCATTAGCCATTAGAGAAATGCAAATCAAAATTACAATGAGATACCATCTCACTGCAACAATACTGGCACTAAACAAAAAAAACATAAAATAATAAATGTTGAAGGGGTTGCAAGGACACTGGAACTCTTATGCACTGCTGGTGGGAATGTAAAATGGTACAACCACTATGGAAAACAATATGGCACCTCCTTAAAAAGCTAGAAATAGAAATACCATACAATCCAGCAATTCTGCTCCTAGGAATATACTCTAGAGAATAAGAGCTGTTACATCCATGTTCACTGCAGCACTATTCACAATAGCAAAAAGATGGAAATAACCTAAGTGCTCATCAACAAATGAATGGATAAACAAATTATGGTACATACACACAATGGAATACTACGCAACGATAAAGAACAATGTTGAATCTGTGAAATATCTCACAACATGGATGAATTTGGAGGGCATTATGCTGTGTGAAATAAGTCAATCACAAAAGGACAAATATTGTATGAGACCACCGTTACAAAAACTCAAGAGACGGTTTACACACAGCAAAAACAATCTTTGATGGTTACAAGGGAGGGGAGGGGTGGGGAAGGGAAATCACTAACTAGACAGTAGATAAGTGTCAACTTTGGTGAAGGGAAAGACAACATACAATATAGAGGAAGTTAAGTCAGCACAACGTGTCCAAGGCAAGAAACTTCCTAGACATATCCAAACACCTTGAGGGACCAAGTTGCTGGGGCTGAGGGCTGGGGACCATAGTCTTGGGGGATATCTAGATCAATTGGCATAAAACAATTCATAAAGAAAGTCTTCTATACCCTACTTTGGTAATTAGCATCTGGGGTCTTAAAAGCAAGCAGCCATCTAAGATACATCTATCGGTCTCATCCCGTCCAGAGCAAAGGAGAATGAAGAAAACCAAAGACATAGGGAAAACATTAGCCCAAAGGACTAAAGGACCACGTGAACCACAGCTTCCACCAGCCCGAGTCCAGAAGAACTAGATGGTGCCCAACCATTCTGACAGGGATCACAATAAAGAGTCCCGGACAGAGTGGGAGGAAAATGTAGAACAGAATCCAAATTCACAAGAAAAAGATCTGACTTACTGGTCTGACAGAGACTGGAGGAACCCCCGAGACTATGGCCCCTCGACACACTGCTAACTCATAATTGAAGCCCACTTTTCAGACAAAGATTAGACAGGCCTAGAAAACAAACAATAACACACGTAAAGAACATGCTTCTTAGTTCAATCAAATATATGACATCAAATGGGCAACTCCTGCCCGAAAGCAAGACGAGAAGGCAGGAAGGGACAGGAAAACTGGACAAATGGACACAGGGAACACAGGGTGAAAAGGGGGAGTGCTGTCACATCGTGGGGATTGCAACCAATGTCACAAAACAATCTGTGTATAAATTTTTCAATGAGGAAAAAAAAAAAGATTTACAGCCTAGAAAACCCTTCGGGGCAGTTCTTCTCTGTCCTGTAGGGTTGCTGTGAGTTGGAACCGACTCGATGGCACACAACAACAACTTGCCCATTTCACAGATATGGAAACTGAGGCTTGCCCAGAGTTAGCAGGCCAGCAACTTGCAGGGCCTGAGTGCTCACCAGTGTGACCCACTGTGAGCCAACTGCACCACAGATTCAGATCCCAGCTCACAATAACTGTGTGGTCACAGGCAAGTGGCTTAATGAGTCTGGGGCTTAGTTTGCCAACAGTATAATGGAAATAAAAATTGAACCTGCCTCAGGCTGTGTTAATAACTAAATGAGGTGATGCACACAAAGCACCCAGCACGCAGTAAGCACTCAATAAATGCTGCAACGATTCCTCTTCTGTCGTTGGCTGTACAGTTCTCCCAAGCCATGGGTCTGAAGAAACCATCACCAAATCCCCAGGTGGGTCTCTCGCGCGCAGGGCCTACCTTTTGCCATTTCCTTCCACGTCGGGATCTTCTTCAGCCTGACGAAGTCCCGGCAGAAGTAGTGTTCCTCCCTCTGCTTGTCACTCAGGCCCTTCAGAAAAGCTGGAGCAGGGGGCAGCAAGGAGAGTCAGGGCGGGCAGGGAGGGGGCAGTCCAGGCCATTGCTCCCTGCCCCAGTCTCCCCCTCCTCACAGTGACCCCCGCCTTGTCCATACATATCCACCTTTCCCTCAGGCACATGGGGAGAGGGTCCCCTAAATCACTTCGCCCACCCCTTTTGTTCAGGAGGAGAAACTGAGGCCCAAGGAAGCTGAGGGACTCCCTCGGGTACCAGAGACCTGGGTTTGGAATTTAGCCCTGCCGCTTTCCAGCTGCGCCCACATCCCTCTGGGTCCCCAAGTTTAGAGACGGGATTAAGACACCCCTTGCAGAACAGCTCAAGCTCACAAGAGCTCACACATGCTAAGGCCAGGCAGGCTGGTGCCATGCAATCAGTGACATTATCAATCGGTAAAAAGGAAGATCGAAGAAGAATTGACGCATTTGAATTGTGGTGTTGGCGAAGAATGTTGAATATACCACAGACTGCCAGAAGAATGAACAAATCTGTCTCAGAGGAAGTACGCCCAGAATGCCCCTTAGAAGCAAGGATGGAGAGACTTTATCTGGCTTAGTTTGGACATGTCACCGGGTGGGACCAACAGCTGGAGAAAGACATCATGCTTGGTAAAGTAGAGGGTGAGTGAAAAAGAGAGTGACCCTCAACGAGATGGACTGATGCAGCAGCTACAACAATGGGCTCAAGCATGGCAATGATTGTGAGGGCGGCACAGGGCAGTGCAACGTTTTGTTCTGTTGTACATATGATCGGAACTGATCCTGTGGCATCTAACGACAACACGTTATCAATGGTTTACATTATCTGGATGAGGCAAATGGTTAAGTGCTCAACTACTAGCCAAAAGTAGTCGAGCCGTTTGAACCCACCCAGAGGCGTCCTGGAAGACAAGCTTGGCGATCTGCTTCCCAAAGGTCACAGCCTTGAAAACCCTATGATGCAGTTCTGTTCTGCACACATGGGATTGCCATGAGTCGGAATCAACCATCAACAATAGGGCACAAGGAACCAGGAGAACTGGCCTCAAAGAGTCACAGAACCAAGCAGATCTGGTGCCTGTTCTTGACATTCTCCCATCATTGACCGAGGGCCCCCCACCACGGGCACCCAGCTGGGGGCTCTCCCAGTAAACCAAGAGGGTGCTTGGAATTGTCTCCATTTTACAGATGAGGAAACAGGGACTCAGAGAGAAATCCACCCGTTGTCATGCAGCTGGTGGGTGGGGAGCCAGGTCCCCCACCCATTCGTGGACTCTGACTCCGCACTGGCCGGGCAACCCTGCTCCAGCTCTACCCCTGGCCCTGGCCTTCCCTTTGGGGTATCACCAGACGGAAACGCTGAGCCCTTTGGCGGTTTCGCCTGAGTGGCTGTCCAGGCTGACAGCTCATGGGCTCCCCCTGCTGGCCCGAGGTCGCCTGAGCACCACTGCTCTCAGGCCAGCCTTGCTCCCGGAAGGAGCAGCCCCCACTGACCACCTGGGGGGCAACAAACTGCCAAGGCCACAATCTAGAAATGCAAAAAGCATCAGAAAATGTGTAGCGGTGGGAGGGGAACTCGAGGAGCTCATGGAGGAGGAAGGGTCTGCCTTCTGGAAAATTCTATGGAAATGGCTGTGTGAGGGGCAGGTATTCAGGAGAGACAGGTCACCCACACACACTCTTTTCCTGCCAATCCTCAGTCTCCCCACCTGTCCAATGGCAGCAAGGATGCCAAGAGCACTAGATGACATAACTCATGGAAAGGGCTCGTAGTGCACGCTCAATAGTGTAAACTGAGGAGATTATGATAAAAGTCTAGTAGCACCCCAAATCTGCTTCAACTCTGGCTCAGGCCAGAACCAACTTCCCACCCCTTCCACAGCACTGACTGAGCACCTACAAAACGCAGTCCTGCGTTCACTGAGCACCCACGGCATGCAGGTCCTGCATTCACTGAGCACCCACGGCATGCAGGTCCTGCATTCACTGAGCACCCACAGCATGCAGGTCCTGCATTCATTGAGCACCCATGGCATGCAGGTTCTGCATGGGTTGAGCACCCAGAGCACGCAGGTCCTGCATGCATTGAGCATCCATGGCATGCAAGTGCTGCATCAGTGCCCGGGATACAACACCAAACAAGCAGATGTGGCCCTCGTGAATCTACAATCCAGCAGGGAGTCTGAGGCTGGCCCAGGCATTACACAAGTGTTATGGATTGACCTGTGTCCCCCAAAAATGTGTGTCAACTCGGCTAGGCCACGGTTCCCAGTTTTGTGATTGTCTACCATTTTGTCATCTGATGTGATTTTCCTAAGTGTTGTAAATTCTGCCTCTGTGATGTTAATGAGGCAGGATAAGAGGCAGTTATGTTAATGAGGCAAGACTCAATCTACAAGATTAGGTTGTGTCTTGGGTCAATCTATTTTGAGATATAAAAGATAGAAGTGAGCAGACAGATAGGCGGACCTCATTACCACCAAGCAAGAAGAGCCAGGAGCGTGTGTCCTTTGGACTTGGGGTCCCTGTGCTGAGACACTCCTAGGCCATGGGAAGACTGATGAGAAGGACTTTTCCCCAGAGCCAACAGAAACAGAAAGCCTTCCCCTGGAGCTGACACCCTGAATTTGGACTTCTAGCTTCCTAGACTGTGAGAGAATAAATTTCTCTTAGTCAAAGCCATCCACTTCTGGAATTTCTGTTATAGCAGCACTAGACAACTAAGACAGAATTTGGTACCGAGAAAGTGGGATGCTGCTCTGACAAATACCTAAAATGTGGATGCAGTTTTGAAACTGTGAATGGATAGAGGCTGGAAGAGTTTTAAAGTGCCTAATAGTAAAAGCCTAGATTGCCTTGAAGAGACTTTTGGTGGAATTATGGACATCAAAGACAATTCTGGTGAGGGCTCAGAAGGAAATGAGGAGAATTGTTATACTGGAGACACTGCAGACAGCAAGAAGCGGCAGCAGAACCAGGAGACTGGTGCGTGACAGTGCTGGAGCCGACCCAAGGAAAGAAGGAGCTGAGTGTTTTTTTTGCAGGAGACTTCCTGGTGGAGTGGGGTGCCTCCAGGCACTTTTCAGTGGAGCTAAAGAGCTTTGGAACACTTGCTGGAGCAGGGCAAGGCCCAAAGGGCTGAGAGGCCAAGGAACCAGAAAGCAGAAGCTGAATAGATGAGGAACGCAGGAAGCATAGCTGGGAGCGGAGCACCTCCTTCGGACCTTGGGTTCCTGTGCTGAGAGGCTCCTAGACCAGGGGAAGATTGATGACAAAGACCTTCCCCCAGAGTTGACTGATAAAGTCTTACCCTGGAGCTGGCACCCTGAATTCAGATTTCTAGCCTCCTAGACTGTGAGAGAATAAAATTCTGTTTGTTAAAGCCATCCACTTGTGCTGTTTCTGTTATAGCAGCACTATATAACTAAGACAACAAGTAAGCAAATAATTCAAATTCTGATAAACCCTGTGAAAGAGATGTGCAGAGGGCTAGGAGAGGAGGTAACCGGGACCTGAACCCAGGGGGAGGTGGGAGGACATCTAAGTGAGACTCGGGAGAGGAGTGGGAGGTGGCCAGGGCAGGGAAGGGCATTCTGCCAGCAGGAACAGCATGTGCAAGGCCCTGGGTGAATGAAATTCAGTGTACGGGGATTAGCGTGGCGGCGAATGACGCTGGAAGGAGTCAGGGCCAACGTAGAGCCTCGAAAGCCTGCTAAGTACTGGACTTCATCCCCAAGCCAAAAAAGCCAAACCCATTGCCGTCATGTTGATTCCAACTCATAGCAACCCTGCAGGACTAAGGAGAACTGCCCCATAGGGTTTCAAAGGAGAGGCTAGTGGATTTGAACTGCCAACCTTTTGGTTAGCAGCTGAGTGCTTTAACCACTGCACCACAAGGGCTCCATCCCAGGGGCACCAGAATCACATTAAAAATGTTCTCACCAGATATGGATTGAGACTTTTCCCCCAAAGTGGTGCCATTTTCATCCTTTCCAAGGGGTCATGCTGACCCCTCAGTCGTGGGCCTCCCTTGCTGCTCGCAGCCCATTTTCCTGTGCCCCCTTCTCAAGCGGCTGCTCTCCCCACTGAGCAACATGATCCCACGCAAGACCTGAGGACTCTCACTTAAATGCTCCTTCCTTTGTGCGTGTATAAAAAAACAAAACCACTGCCATCGAGTCGATTCCGACTCACAGCAACCCTATAGGACAGAGGAGAACTGTCCCATAGGGTTTCCGAGGCAAGCTGACTGCCACATCTTTCTCCCTCGGAGGGGCTGGTGGGTTTGAACCGCCAACCTTTTGGTTAGCAGTCAAGCGCTTCATCACTGCACCACCAGAGCTTCTTTGTGTGTGTATGGAGGGTGGTATTTGGAAGGAGTTAACGGGCCTCTGCAAGCCTCAGTTTTCCTCTTCTGTAAAATGGGACAATTGCATTAACTGAGAAGAAGAACAGGCTTAGTTTGGTACAACGTGCTCAGCTGGTGTTGGCCGGCATCGAGGAGGGCAAAGAATGGACTGTGGAGGGAGACACCTGGGTTAATCCAGGCCTACCGCTTACCGGCAGTTTGAATGCGGATCAGCCAGCTGACCAATACTTATTGAGAACCACCGCATGCCAGGCCTGAGATGCCAGGCAAGGTGAGGTCCCAGGTCTGACTGAGCAGAGGGAGCCGGGAAAGCTTCCTGGAGGAGGTAACTCCAACTTCTCTGGTCTGCCTCAGGAGCTATAAATCGCTTGAGAAAACCCTACCACCAAGCAGAGGGCTCCTCTAAATTCTTGACCCCCCTGCCCCCTGTGGCAGGGCCCCATCTGCTCTTCTCCCCTCTCCCTGGCCTCCCCCACTCCTCCTCTGCCCTCAGATGCTGCCTCCTCCTCCCACCACCTGCCCGCAGGTCAGCAGGTGTGAAGGCCTTTCCTCCAGCAGCAGCCGCCCACCCGCCTTCTGGGGGACTCGCCCCTGCAGCTCTCCCCACACTGGACCATCCTGCCTGCCTTCAAACACCC